CAAATATTCTTTGCGCTTCGTTTGTGATGTCGCTTTAACTGCCGAAGCGAATGTACGAACAGCACATGTTCTTGCTCTTTGCATTGCAGTCAGGGTTTCAGCTGTGTGTATGTGCGAAACGTTGTCATATGCTTGTTGTAAAAAACTGTCGAATATTTCACATTTTCGCACTTTCGCTCAAACGCACACAGTTTTGTCTTAAAGATAGGACTCTAGTATTGTAAATTTTAACATGATATTTATTTTTATTTTTTATTTTACACGATATGCATAGAAAAAGCGAGGAAAAATTCCTTTCTAAAAACATTCCCTAGTTTCCTGTCATTGTGAAAGTTGCCAAATTTTTTATTTACTCATTGAAGTATTTTTATATTAAAATCGTATTTTTCTAGTTAAATATATATGTAAGTACATCGATTTTCTTTTTTTCTTAACATATGGTTTGAAAATATTGCTCATGGAATTTAAATTAATAAAATACAATTAGAAGAGTATTTTGAAAATAATAAGCTGTTTATGAAATACCAATCGGGATTCAGAAAGAAATATTCATGCGAAACTGCCGTAAACCATGTTATCTGTGAATGGAAATGCAGTGAAAAGAAAAAAATTATGGCTTTATTTCTGGATTTTAAACGAGCTTTTGAAACTATTGACCGGGATATATTAGTAAATTGTATATGTACGGTGTTCAAAATAAAGAATTAAAGTGGTTTGAGTCATACCTAGCGCAGAGGACACAACGCACTACAGTGAAAAGATTGGTATCAGACTATAGGTGCGTTCGTTTAAAATCTCCAGCAGAAACTAACCAACTGCCAAATTTCGGCGAAATGTCATCTGCTCTCTCACAAGAGAGAAATATCCAAAATAGTACGCGAACAGAAAATTTGCAGAAACTTGCAAGTTAGACGAACAGCTGATATAATTTTTGTTTACATACAAAAGTGTAAAATTTAAAACGTACGAAAAGTCATCGCAAAGTGTTATACTGACACAGTTTATTGATTAAACAAATAACTACTTATTTCTTACAAGTTTAATTAGTCGCATTTTGTAATTTTTATCTTCCAAACCATCAAATTCAATTTTGTGATTTGCGTAAATGCCAACCAGCTGTTTTTGATCAGCTGTTTTCCTGTTGGCAAATTGCTGTTGGCAAAAATTTTTCCAGCAGAAACCAGCAGCTTCCCCTCAAAATGAAATGTCAGTTTGCTCTCTCAATTTCCCCTACTTTGCAAGTTTTTTGCGTACGCGAACGCAAAAACTTGTAAGTTTTGGTTAAACATGAACAATTAACAGCTACGCGAACGAACCTTATATACGGTCAATACTTGGTTCATTATTATTTATAATTAGTCTGTTCCTTTGAACTTCGGACTAAAACGTGTGGAACTGTCAAACTACAATTTTACGCTCTCAAATGAGAGTAAAAGGAGAACAGATGCAGAAGTGCATAGGAACGCAAAAAGCACTATTTCCTGTAAAAACGTCAGACGGTTTGTTTACATGTCATTGGTACTACACTGATTTGGCTGAAATATCACTAAATAATTATTAAAATCTATACATATTCAAATATTTCGTTGTTTACTTCCATTTTTTAACAAATAAAAGATTCTTAGATTTCACCGCTTTCAGTTTTTGTTTGCACATGAAAATCAGCTGATCGTTTGACACTTTTCATGAACTTACAGGAAAAAATACTCCGGACTAAATTAGTCTGTTCCAATAGCAGTCCGGTTTACAAGATTTAGTCAGAACTTACAGAAAGTCGTTCTTATTGACATAAAACCTGTAAGTGGGAACACATTTGAGAGAGTAACTGAGCAACTGTTCCTAGTCAGAAGTTACAGGATTTAGTCCGGAGTTTTTTTCCTGTAAGTTCATGAAAAGTGTCAAACGATCAGCTGATTTACATGTGCAAACAAAAACAGAAAGCGGTGAAAGCAAAAAACCTTATATTTGTTAAAAAATGGAAGTAAACAACGAAATATTTGAATATGTATAGATTTTAATAATTATTTAGTGATATTTCAGCAAATCAGTTGTTGTACAAATGACATGTAAACAAACCGACTGACGTTTTTACAGGATATAGCGCTTTTTGTGTTCCCGTGCACTTCTGGATCTGTTCTCCTTTTACTCTCACNGTGTTCCCACTTACAGGTTTTATGTCAATAGGAACGACTTCCTGTAAGTTCTGACTAAATCCTGTAAACCGGACTGCTATTGGAACAGACTAAATATACATTAGTTGCGTTCCAGATGCTTCACGATATTCACGAAATTCACGATTTGCAGGAACAGCTGTTTTCTCCATTAATAAACCTTATGGGAGGTGGTCACCTGGAACGACTTCCTGTAAAAACCTGCAAATCGTGAAGCATCTGGAACGCAACTATTAATGATTTAAGTAATGTGTTAAAAAACAGCAAAATTATGTTATACGCCGATGATACTCTAATATATAGCACAGGTGAAACGCCGCCAGAGTGTAAAAATAAACTAGACCAAGGCATTAATGAAATAAGTAATTGGCTAAAAATGAATAAACTCAAACTAAACGAACTGAAAACAAAATTGGTGTCATAATAGACAAAGACCTGCAGTTTAACGTGCATGTTGAGAATGCATGTAAAAAAATTGGCAAAAACTAGGTTTGTTTAGAAGAATTCGAAAAAACTTATTAGTGCTAAGAGCAATTAGAATATACAATACGATATTAAAACCTCATTTCGAATAATGTTCAACAATACTATGCAACAAGTACACATCAGTCCAGCATATGCTGGATGTCTTAAAATGGTTGAACGTGCGGCAAAGATTGGAGCTCAATACGGTTTGTATATCTGACTACTAGTGTTAAAATGCCGGACTACATATCGGAGAAGGTCATCTACGTTGGAGGAGTGCAGCCATATGCATTAAGAAACGCAACTGACTTAAGACTACAGAAACATGGCAAGGCGTCATCACGGAATAATGTATTCTATAAAGGTTTTAAAAGATTTATGGCCTTATTCGTAAAAAATAAAGTAGCTTTAAAAAAGGTTTATAAACTGAAAAATGTATGAAAACGTCATTTTATAAAGCTTTTTAAACCTACTTTATTTTTTATGAATAAGGCCATTAATATGTTAAATGAAGATACCAAAAAAGAAAAAAATATACACTTATTTAAAAGAAAATGTATAGAATTTGTGAGAAAATAGTTTAGACAGCTCAAAATAATGTTATGGTAAATAGTATCACTGTAATTACAAGTAATCAAATTATTACTAAATAAATCAACCAATCAATCAATCAAAAGTGTAATCATTTCACTAAAACCAGTTTTTTGGTGAAACGATGTACAAACGATATATTTAATATATTTATTATTTAACACTATAATAAGTGTGGTCTCACAGGCCAACATTAGCTGCGTTCCAGATGCTTCACGATTTGCAGGTTTTTACAGGAAGGGCCTGTGCCAATCGGTAACTTTTTTCTCCGTGGTGAGACGGGGTTGCTGAAATTCTTAAAATTTATATTTATTTTATAATTTGCAAGTAACGTACGCTTTTTTTTATGCTGTTTCAGCTTTCATTTTCATGTTCACTCCTTATTACCGCCAAGCAATATTATGTGTATACATGGTTATAAGCTGTCAAAATTTTACCTAGCCCCATGAGCTAGGTAAAATTCTGACGTTCTTATTCACCACGAGAAATGTCAGATTTTTACTTTGATCCGTCAAAATTTTCTCTTTTCTATCATTTGGCACAGGCCCGAAGTCGTTCCAAGTGACCACCTCCCATAAGGTTTATTGGAGATAAACAGCTGTTCCTGCAAATCGTGAATATCGTGAAGCATCTGGAACGCAACTATTAGTAGTTGCGATTTTTTTTAATCACAGTAGTTAAAGGTTAACCGTGCACTGAAAAACTGGCAGTGATTGAGGTGATACCGCGCAAGTGCTGGACCAGTTAGACTTACTGTGGGTGTTTGACTACAAATACAAGCAAACGAAAGAACGATACGGTTGATCGCTATGCTATTTATAGCTTATGGCCCCAAAATATGGTACATAAATATTATTATGCCTGTTCGTGAAGCAAATGATTTGCAACAATTGTTACAAATTAATTCTTGGTTTTGGTGTCAAGTATTCAAAAAATTCCAAAGTAGGGGAAATTGGGGAAAGCAAAGCGGCAGTGGAGGCAAGTTGCAAATGTATACTGCACAAATTTCAATTTGCAACAGCTGATGGCATATAGCTAGGTTCAATTTATACTAATAAAGTAATGTATTAGGAAATACTCTTTTCATTAGGAAATTTCTTCGGAAAACCCACATTTAATCAGCTGCTCATAAACTGCAAATTATAAATGGCTTTGATCTTACGTACTTTTTTGTTGGTATTATTTATTATTTTTTTCTTCGAGTGAATTCTCGGAAATCAAGCTACTTGAGATTACCTCATTAAACGCTAAAGCAATAGAGGAAATTTAGAGGAACCAAATTTTGGAGGATACTAATAGTGAGGATATGTACAAAAACCCATAACAAAAAGTTTCGACCCCTATAAAGGGCTGTACGAGCTGAAACATATATGTAACACTCTTGGATCTTTGTTATGTAATAACAATTTTTATAACAACACTATTAGTCTATGAAATTCCAGCGGGACATAACACTAGCGTTTAAAGGATTACATGAACAGGCTATCCTGTAAAGAGTAGCTTCACAATATTATCCACTAGAAGGCGCACCGGGTTTAAACGTTGTTTTTGTCGTAGTATAAATTCTTTCCGGGAAACAGTCCTTGAACAGATATAGGCGGCTTTGCTCTCTGTCAAATATCGAGGAAGATCAGCTACCAATTATGAAAAAAATAAAACCACCTAACTTTTTAACTCATGTTTCGTATTGTTTATTCATTTTCCTTTAGTGGGTTTCTAAAAATTAAATATTATCAACAGTAGTTTTGGTATGAGATTGATAAAAAATTTGAATTCGTTCCATGCCATTTTATGCGTAAAAATAAGTTAATATTTTACACGGTGTTTGCTTTTTCAGATTTAAGTTGCCTCCGACGAAATAAAATCGATTCAAACCTAGGCATATATTGGGGAAAGGAAATAATATATTAAGCGAGAAAACCAAGAGGTCAGTCCAAATATGCGTTGCCCAATCTAGTAACCATTCAATATGCCAAGGGTATTCAATATAAAAATAATATATTTTATGAATATTATGCTTTTGCATATCTATCCATGCCTTCGACGCCTACTTGTACTGGTAATGCTTCGATTGGAGTGTTTAAGTGACTCTTTTGTGGAATTATTCTGTTCCTATTTTCGATAAATTCATTTATTCTACTTTCGCCATCTGCGGTTATGTATTATTGCCTTAGTGTGAAAAAACAAAAATGTGTGTGTTTACGATCGAAACAATGTTTCATTCATTATTTAATTGGCTCACATTATATGTAGTTTTTCTCTGGTTATGTTGTGTGTACTATATTTATACCGAGTGCAACCCTTTTCATAACTCAGCTCCAAATTGAGACGCACGTCTAATCAATATAGTTGACGAATATTTAATCTATTCGTCGTCTTCCCTTACTTATATCCCACGCTTTGTATATTTGTAGATGTTGCTTGCGTATGTCGGCACCACTAAATCTAAGTTTCCATCGTGAGAATCCGTTTTAGGCCACAGGAACCTCCTCAGTTTTCGGTGTAGACTCAACTGTGCTAGTAATATCTACCCCTTTAGCACTAGCTGATGCACCTCCAATAGCCACCTCCTCAAAGTTCTGAACTAAATCTGGAACATCATCGTCAACTGCAGATGAAGATGCACTCGCTAAACCACCAGCTGCGGCACCTGATGCAGCAGCCCCTTTGTTAGCAAACTCTGTAGCGATTTTTTTCAATTGCGTGATGTCCTGCGGTCCCAGCTGTGTTAAAATTCCCGGCAACATTTCTGAAATAGACTTGTTCTCCCCATGCCCCGTAATAGCGAACGTATTTGTTGGAAGTGATGCCTGTGCTTTAGGATTATTGAAGTGTATGACGGTACCATCATTTTTGATTATATTAACTTCTTCAATCCCAGGAATCGTGTTAACAGACAATTTCTTTAGAGACGATTGTAATTTTTTATCATCGGTAGCAGGAGTAGAATGTACAATCTTCTTCTTACGACGTGGAGTGCCCTTTCCACCGATACGAACATGCGCCTGCAACTTCTTTAATTTCTCCGGATTCATCTAAAACCAAAAAATTAGCGTAACAATGCGTTTGCATAAATATTATTTTTTCACATTCACCTCTTTTTTAATGGATTTTTATGAACAGTCCGCAAGAAAAACACGTGCACCAACAGTAGGGGCCAATTGTCAAAAAGAAATCGCCATTATGCTAAAATAAATTCTAGCAGTTTTCGGTGTTGGTAAGTATGTGAAATGTTATGCAAATGTGTGTGTCATTAGAGTTGCCGACTTGAACATTATAAAAAACAAAATTATTTCTAAAAACCCTTTTTTCGTTTTGAAAATGTAGGCATATTCAACGTTGGAATATATAATAAATGTATATATAATGACCTGGTCATAAAATTAAAATAATAATAAATCCTTTTTACTTTCCCACAGGGGATGGATACCTAAACTGCAGGAAAATAACGGGTGTTTCCACCAGTGATAGCGTTAAGGCTCTGTTATGCATACTTGGCATTGCATGCACTGCTATACCATTTTTACGTAGAAATCAAAAACCAACAGACTTTTACGTATGTAATGCTGTGCGTTGGGTAACCGCTTACACGCGAAGCTTATTTAACAGATTCCTTATGTGACAACTCTCAAGCAATGCCAAGTATGCATAACGGAGCCTTTAAGCTGAAATTAATCAAGAACGTAAACCTACCGGTACGTAAACCCGAGTCAGCTGATACGATCTGTCTTACCAAAGCGCCATGTAAATGAAAACTCAACACCGCAGACTTTTTCTGTAGTTGTAGCCCGTAGCGCAGAAATCTGCGGAATTTAGAATTTTCCGTGTCAGCTGATTTCTCCATCTTTAGATGGTTGCCACTTCGTCAGTTTTGTAGATGGTCAAAAAGTTATAAGTTCATATTCAAAATATTGTTACGATTATCCTTAAGCTGAAATTAGTCAAGAACGTAAACCTACCGGTACGTAAACCCGAGTCAGCTGACACGATCTATCTTACCAAAGCGCCATGTAAATGAAAACTCAACACCGCAGAATTTTTCTGTAGTTGTAGCCCGTAGCGCAGAAATCTGCGGAATTTAGATTTTTCCGTGTCAGCTGATTTCTCCTTCTTTATATGGTTGCCACTTCATCAGTTTTGCAGATGGTAAAAAAGTTATAAGTTCATACTCAAAATATGTTTCAAATATTTTAAATTTACTATTGAATAAGGTTTTGTTGAAAACTAAGTAGTTTATATTTAGCTA